ATCCCGGTAAATGAAGCTCCGAATGTAAGCCACCGCTTCGGGATCCCGGCGGAAAACGCAATTCAAGCATGGAGATAGAGGCTGGCCGCCGTCGTTCCAACGATGCATATGCCAATCCTCATCCTTGTATAGCACGTCCGAGATTTCCCCCATAGAACCAACCCCGACCTCATCCCACAGACTCTCGATCTGCCTCGTCAGCTGCTTGATCTCATTGGTATAGGTCAGCTTCCCCCGGAGGTCCGGATGGTTTATCACTCCGGGGCTCACCTGGATATACCCTCGGATGCTATCAAAGATCTCCCGGGACACCTTGACCGCAAAGGCGGGGGCGCACAGGGACAAGCGAGTCAAGTCGAGCAGCGCCTGGACCTTCAGAAGAAGAAAATACGGGGTTACACGGTCGAAGATTATCCAATGACTGTCGCCAGCGATTGGCTCCATCACGCTGACCCCACGCGGGAATTTCAGTATTGGCAAGCTGGGGCTGATGATGCTTAACCGGTCAACATCCGGTTGACCGTTGGCCATGCTCCACCATTGAAGGAGGTCCCAACACTCCTGATCCATCCCTAAAACCGACATCGCCGCCGCAGTCCAACGGATTTCCCCCCCGGTCCACTTGGGCCCTCTCATCAGCCCTAGCGAGTGAGCCAACGTCTCGGTTCGTGCCTCAAGGCTCCGGATAAAGACCAGCGCTCTTAGCAGATCTAGGCGTGCGGATTTGACGTCCATCACGGCCCCTTGGAGTCCTTCTCCCTGTCCGTTTCTTGGGATGGGAAAGTCTTGGTCCACAAAAGGATCTTCTCCGCTGGGAACAAGCGCGCGGAGTTCGGCCTCGGCGGCCTTCACATCGGCGCGATGCATTGCGACTATGTCGCAAAACATCTCATGCTGTCAGCGGTGGCTGAATTGATGCTCCTCGCTGCAGTAGAGGTATGGTAGTGTGAAGGTACATATATATGGATGTAGTCGCGTATGTATATACGCAGGAATACCTGAAGTCCGAGCGGTAGAGACGCGACAAAGAGAACAATTCAAGAAGGACCACGGCCGGAGCACACCCTTCGGTCTTTGAGAACAAGCACTGAGTGAGGACAAATTCTTTGTGTAGATGATGGGGAACCCAGACAAGATCGAAAGTCATTGTTCATGCATTGTCTCTATTGCAGCCGTGGTAGTAACACAAGAAAGAAACCCTACACCTGCTTTCTGGCATCAAATCTAGTAGAGAATATAGCAACACCACATTTCCTGTCACCCAGCTTATCGCCACATTGCATAATGAAAGTCGGCTGGAGCCAAGCACCTCTGGCATTCGCCAAAGGCATAGACACCCAGCATCATTCCAGTAAATGCCGCCCCAACCCTTGGTGGCCTTGTCATGGTATCATTTCCCACGTCTCCCACCCACTGCAGCCTCGTCTGGTCTCCATCCGGAGCAGCCTCCCGGAACCCGAATCGGTACGATGGGCCACATTCGACAACAAAGATCACGTCCGACTGCGCATTCTGTAGAGGTATCTCTACAGCATCCCCCTGCGCAGGCTGGAACCGCACCATGCGACCCCCTGTGTCCGACCCCTGCACGCCCATGCTGCTGTACGTGAGGTAGTTCCACCACACCACCGTGCCGGCCTCGGTGTGCTTCTGCTTCGACTCGAAAGAGACCCGGGTCTCCCAGGTACAGACGCGATGGGTCTGTTTGCGCAAGAAGAGCGTCGGACACGTCGGGACAGACAGATTGTACGGCCCACCGTAGAGCCGGAGACAACCCTCTCGCGCGGTGAGCGAAAAGTCGCGCAAGACCGGCGTATTCTTTCGGTACCACCCTAGCTGCAACTGGGGCTGCGTGAAGTCATCGCGCCAGGCGACTGGGGGCTGCCACTGATACAGCTGAGGTCCCGCGTATTCCAGCGGAATCTTCTCGCCACCGTTGATGACCGGCCAGTCGTTCTCCCAATTCATCGGGACTAGGAAGGTTTCACGGCCTAATCACACACTTAATCACAGGGGCGCATCTTTCATACCCGAGGGGATTGACTCACCGAACACCGACTCCTCCCACACGCCATCCCGCCAGACCGGCCGTACCCCCAACAGCACCACCCACCACTGCCCCTCGGTATCCTCGACCAAGTCCGCATGCCCAGTATTCTGGACTTCATCGGAGAGTCCATTCCGCCACAGAGGATTGGTAGGCGCGACCTCCCAGGGACCGAGCGGACTGGTTTTACTGCGCGACACCCATTCACAATGTCCACTCTCAGTGCCTCCCTCGGCCGTGAAGAGATAGTAGTACTCCCCGCGACGGAAGAGATGCGAGCCCTCAGCCACCCCCGACGCTGATTCCCGGATCAAGCGAGGCTCAGCCAAGGAGGCGCCCGTCTCCAGGTCTACCGGCACGATGTGCACGGCGAAGTCTTTCAAATTGGCGCGGGGGGTGCGATCCAGTTTGCGGTAGGTCGATGACAGGTAAATGGTGCCATCGTCGTCCCAGAAGAGCTGTACAGCATGAGCCCCGACCGGAATTCAAGGAGACACAGACACTCACATCCTGATCGAAGCCGACTTGATCGAAGTAGACTGGATCCGACCACGAGTCAGAATCCCAGATGTTCGCGGTCTTCACGTAGAATCCCCGCGGCCAGACGCGGTCGTCTTCTTGGGGTCGATAGCGTTGAAAACAGGCAGCGAGACAATAAAAGAACCCCTCGTGGTAACGCAGTGTGGTGGCCCAGACACCGCCACCGGGCTCGGGGGTTTGGATCTGCAGCTGGCTCGGGCGTGTAAGTGCATGGCCGATCAGGGTCCACTGGATCAGGTCGGTGCTGTGGTAGATCGGAGCCCCAGGGACATATTCGAACGAAGAGGTGACCAGGAAATAGTCAGAGTTAACCCGCACGATGGAAGGATCGGGATTGAACCCGGGGATGATTGGGTTGGTATACATGACGCAGTGGTTTTGGTTTGGAGATGCCACCTTTGCATTGGTGTCAGAATGAGGGGGGATATCCAGTTTATGCGGAGAAGCTTCTGCATGATGATTGGTGGAGAAATACTTCGAGCTTTGCTTGGCTTCTATGAGACATGACTTGGTTTACTTCTGAGTGATTATACAATTGACAACGGCCTTGAGATGCATTCAACGACTGTGTAGTGAGGCTGGTAATCGCATAAACCTTCCTGAGCCCCATAGTCTCCCTTGTCCTCACGCCAGAACCTCCCCTGCCGAGTGAGTATTCTTGTGAATGTGGCCGTTGATTAGAATCGCGTGTAGACGATTCTTGTTCTGCAAGACACTGATATCGCGCAAAGGATCGCCATCTACCAAAATCACATCGGCGAAATAGCCTGGCTGCACTTTTCCAAGCTCGTCCGGATAGCCCATGAGCTCGCCTGCCATCGCGGTCGCAGCCAGAATGCTCTCCATCGGCGTGTACCCAAACAAATCCACCAAGTGCTTTAGATCGCGCGCATAGGTGCCATGGGGGGCCCAGGCAAACCCGTAATCACCACCAGGGAGGACGCGGATCCCCCTACGACGCATCTCGCGCATGGCTTGACAAGCGACCTCGACCTCGTACGTGATCCCCTTCTGCTCGGCCACTTTGGGCGACACTCCGTAAGGCTCTGCGTCACCCTGCACCATCGCGTACATGAGATTGATAGCCGGAGCCACCCAGACGGAGTCTTTGTGCTGCTCGAGAAGATCCATACCTTCCTCATCCGTGAAACTTGCATGATAAATGACATCGACCCCGGCCTGCACACATTGCTTGACCGAGGCAGCACTCCGAGCATGGGCGCAGACCCGTTTGCCATGAAGATGTGCCTCCTCCACTGCCGCAACCGTCTCCTCCAGATCGAAGTACGTTTCCTCACTGGGCATCGTGGGGTGTACGTTGTCCCCGGTCATACTCAATTTGATATTGTCGGCGCCCAGTTCGACGAATTCTCGAACCACCTTGCGCATCTCCTCCGGCCCATCTGCATAGCGCGAGATCTGAGGAACGATCGCTCCGTCGGGCTTGGTCAGCTCTGGACAGTTGGCTAAAGTGCGTGGGCCGGGGATTAAGCCCGATTTGATCGCAGCTTTGATGGCAATGTCAAGTCGCGGTTGGGCCGCAGCAGCTCCGAAACACATGGTATAGCCGTGGTCAAGGTAGGTTCGGGCTGAGTTTGCGGTATGCAAGACATGTTCCTCGAGTGGAAGACTGGTGAGTTCATCCAGGGTAGCCGCATTGTTCCAGCTGAGGTGAGTATGCGAGTCCGCCAGTCCGGACATGAGTGTCTTGGTGCCACCACCGTCGATGACCAGTGCTCCTTGGGTGGCGGTGGGATCGACTTGGCCGACCGAGAGGATGCGCTCGCCTTCAATCAGTACATCACCACAATATGGCTCTGTGCCGGTTGAATCGAGAATGCGAACATTCCGAAACAGAATTTTGGGTGGGTCTTGGGGGCCGCGGTTGTTAATGGTAATGTCGGCCGGTGTTGGTTGGTATGGGCGTCGGTGAACATCTCCAAGGGAACCCATGGTGCCTTTCCTAGTAATTCCAGTGGATGCGAATCGTAGCCCATGGCGGTGGGAGGGAAAGCTTTTGTAACCATCGCGGGGCAGCCATGACGAAGGTCAGGCGGGGTTCGTGGCGGGGGTTGCATTTCCCCTCTCGGCCATGCAGGGATCATGACCATTCACACCCACCCCGATGGAAATCTCAATTTTCGGTCGGAGGGGATGTGTGCACGGTGCAGGGATGCTATTCCCTGGGCTGATGCAAGTGGCAGGACTGGAGGTCCAATGGACTGATTCAATGCCAGGGTTTTGTCAGATACCGTGAAGGGGAATAAGCTCCGTGTACGAGAAAAAGCAAATAACCGATTCGGCTGATTCGAGAGGTTTGTCATGGCTCCTCTCAATGTTGCATGAAGATCAAAACCCCGTTCGGTGGGCGTCTGCAGCTGTGAGGTGCAGAAACGTGCTGGAAAACCAGTGACTAAAGTGTCCTCACATCATCCAGATACCCTGTCACCCTCTCTACCAGGATTCTTCGGGGCTCAGCCTGGTCGGGGTCACTCAAAGCATGCGATGCGCCCGGGATGATTGTGCTGTTTCGGTGCCACGTCTCATCCCCGAGAATCGTCCGCCATCGCTGCAACAGCGCCACCTTATCGACCCACGGAGGAACCGACTGGTCCCGTCCAGAATACAGCACCATCAATTTGCCCTTTCCATGCAACACCCCTCGGGCTCGGATCATGCCAAAGGTGGTTTGTAGGTGCTCGTCCGGAAGATCCGAGCTGAACAGGTCGTCTTCGTCCGGTCGCTGGGGGCTTTGAGGACTGAGCAGGCTCAAGAACCGACGACTGCTCAGGGGCGTATCAGCCGGGTAGTACATGCGCGTCGTAGTGGCCAGTGGCACAATCGTGTCATAGATCGTGGACCCATCCCCGCCCCCAGTCTCATACGTCCGCTTTTGCGCTTCCTGAATCGTCTTCCGATACACTTCCTGAATTTCCTCCGGAGTATCGTACTCGGTCCCGAGCTTGCTTAGCCACAAAGCAGCCTCCCGGTCGGACACCGGCGCCTGCATGATCGCTCCATCCACCGATGGTCGCGTTGCCCCCACGTATTGTCCTTCGGGGATGTCTCGATCCAGGATTGGGTGGCGTGGGCGCGGGTTGGCGCAACTGATGTAATGCATGACGTCCTGACTTCCGGTGGAATGGCCCATGATGACCACCTTCCCGTGCCCATATAGGGATTTCTTGTGGTCGCGTATGTAGCCCACGCACTGAGCCATCTCGTCAATGTCCTGCGCAAGCGAGCTCATGCCCCAGCCGGCGTAGGAGGAGGAGAGCAGCGGTGTGACGACGGACCATTCGGTATCTTGGAGGGCGAGAATGAGATCGGAGAGGTAATCGACCGTGTGTAGGCCATCGGAGAGACCTCCGATAAAGATGAGCGTGTGAGGCTTGGGGCGAGAGCCGCGGATGTACTCGAAGGCGACCAGTCGGGGGGCCTGAGAGATGGTGTTTGGATGTTAGCACGGTGAGCGAGCGCCAGGGGGTGGGGGGGGCAGCAGATTGGTACAGTACGTATGGGTGCAGGATACCAGGGTGACCTCTGGGCGAGGCCAGAGCAGACTGAAAATGCATTCTGAATGATCAATTCCAGGGACTGCGGTGATGGGAAGCAGGATTGCGTTCACGAAGAAGTGAGTGATGGAGAGGAGTCAAAAAGGGAGGGGGGAAGGGAGCTCGGAGGAAGATGATGGCGGCGAAAATAATCTGATCCGCCCACCGTCCCCCGGCGGGTTCTTATCAATCGGTCGGTCTACTTGTGCTGTACCGTCCCGTCCCGCCCGGCTGACACCTGACAATGCTGGCACCAACTCACTCCAGGTTGGAAGGAGGAATATTCGAAAGCTAAAACTAAGAACCAGGGATATGCTAGCTGTTATTCCAGCACTCTAGATGCAGATAAGTGATTTTCTAGGACAGTACAATTTTCAATGAGGTGCATATTGCTCGACAGGTGCACAATATATTGTTTTTGGTACAGACGGGGAAGGACCCTGCAGTGAGCACACCTTACAATACAACTCAACTACCTTTATTTAACGGACTTGGAACAGAGCTTTATTCCTTCGACTGTAGAGTGCCTATTAGAGACTGCCGTAGCTATACCCCGAATTCAGGAGTAACATAGTGCTTGAATTGTTGGCCCTGGAGCTGTCCTGCTAACTAACTTACCCGGTCTCTGTCGCTCTCCGTAGATCCACCGCGGCTGCCGGATGACTAAGGGATGAGTCATTGGTCGGCTGTTGATGCTTCCGCGTCGACGTCGCTCTCTTCTTCGCACTTCTTCCGCCCCGGACCCTCTTGGTGTTGATCAGGATCATGATGAATTCTCACCCGTTTGAATGCGATTCTATTTTGTTTTTTTCTTTATTTCTACCTCTCTCCACTTTTCTGAGTCGAGGCTAACCAGTCACGCGAACGTTCTCATCTCATTTAGTCTTCTCTACAGGATGAGTTGATCATTCCAGGTTTCTACGGACTGCTGCGCACAGATGACTGTTTCCTGAAACTACTTGAGCAAGGTACACGCGGTGACACAAGTTTCAGTGCAGACAATGCTCGTCACAGGGAGCTCTTCAGTGAAGACGACTGCACAAAACTCGACTGCACCGCGATCTCCTGAGCACGACCATCCACCTCCAAGACTGATTCGATGGACGAGGGCTTGCCCATGTAGTTGGGCCTCGCCGTAACATAATTCGTCAGGCCGATCTCGTCGTCATTGGCCGTCTTCTTCAGCTGCTCAAACCCGAAGTCAAACGTTGGTCCTCGCTGGCTGAATCGGTGGCCCTTTTGAACACCCTGCCTCGATCCACTTGGTAGCTTTCGTGGTCGTCCAGATGACTCGGTCGTCGATCGTCGGGAATGGAAACTGGACGCGAGGGTCCGATGAGCCAGCCGCGCCAGAGGTGCAAGATGAGGCATGCAAGCGCAGACGACAGCGACCGATGGCTCAATGCTGGACCAGATGAACACGGGTCCCATCAGCCAGGTTAGATCCGTCGAGCTCATGAAGATCGACAGGTATCGGATGCGAATGATGCTGGCAACACACACACTAGCATGCACCGGCTTAGCTGGATCCATGGTGGATGTGCTTTAGGGGGCCGAGGGGGACGTACAAAATACCCACCGCCATGATTCCGCTGATGGCCAGTTTCTTCTGCACACTCATCTGCAGCTTGACGATCCGAGGAAAGGGGATGATTAAGATGATGAAGTCATTCAGCATGTTGAGGATGCCCGCGGCCAGGAAGAATCGGTCCACGTCGATGCATTTGCCGCTCGTCCCGCCGAATTGCGTCCAGAAGTATGTGACGGGCTTGCACGAATTGCTCATGGCCACCCAAACGATGATCGGGTAGGCAAGTGTCAGGAAAGCGCCGAACCACAGTGCAACTTTCAATATCGGCTTCAGGGGCGAGAAGACTCTCCAGTAGAAACAAAGAATGGAGAGTCTGGTGCAGGTGCAGGAGGAGGCGTAGATGAAGGTATAGGAGAATAAAAGCTACTTCCTAACCCATCAGCACAGGAGAACCGCAGGTTTGGGGAAAGGGGAATTTTCGACTGACTCGGTAAAGGCGCATCAGTTCCTCCAGTGTGACGGACCAAATGTGCTTCCCAGCACCAGTCATACCTCCTACACGGCTCATGAGCAGGGTGGTCACATCCCAGATCCAATTTCAATACTCACCCGCGATGCTTAACCCAGTCGTGGCACCTATGCAGAGCTAGAAACATTGAGTCAGAGGAGGTGCTCAATCTCAGCCGCATCACACTCACCAGGGCAGCAATGATGGCCCAGTCGTCGGCCATGAGGGCATTTCCAAGGACCAGTCGCGCAGTGAAGCGGAGCATGACCGCCATCGCAGCCAAAACGAGCATGGCAACAACAGCCGCATTGTTCACGGCGACAGCGCTCGCAGTAAGGTCGACATTGGCCGGTGCTGGTCCAAAGAGCGCGCGGATCGCTGGATCCTCGGCCATAGCATTGCGTATGTGGTCACCAAGCCACGCATCAGTCCATGGATTCTCTTAAGTATCAAGAATGGATTCCACAGAGTCACAGGTGCCGATGCCTGTCCTCTGGCCACGGACCAAGCAAAGTTGTCGTCACTCCAAAATCCGACCAACTCGCCTCAGGAGGCGCCAGTCATGGCCACCCTGTTGTCCCCGACACTATCGGATATTACTTGCCAGTCCACCCAAGGGCTAGCCACACTATGAATGGTCGACGGTTGTTGGAGGGATTAACAGGTGGGTCAAGTGTCTTATTACCAAGGCTGTTTGTTGGGCGGGTGTTTGAACCGCGGAAAGCCTTAGTGTAGGATTCATGCTTAATTGCTGTCATTATAGTCGCCGACGCGGCCCGCCGGAAGGCGCTGCACGGCTGCTCCAGGAGCCCAGCTGACTCAACCCACAACTCCTGAGAGTCCCCCTGCTCTGCTTCAGGACAGAAACAGATCTCCTTCCAGTGGTCAGACGTGCCATTGTGCCATTGACATGGCCAATTGCCAAGATTGAGCTTCTATCAGATCCATTATCAACTGAAGTGGCAAGGACAACGGTTCGCCATTGCGGGTGGGGCTGGCCATCAGCACTATCTTTTAGTGAAAGACGTACAACAGTAGACTACTCGAATCTTGTCCGGCATGGCGCTACTTCTGGACCGGCAGGGATTGAAACAGGAAACTCCTCTCCCTAATCCTTAGATAGCTGATATTGAATTGCCCCCTGGTAGATAGATGAGGAACTTGTGTGCCGGAGTGTGGCACAGTCCAAAATGCTGGCATCGGGCCACTCCGCCGAAAGGTTTAATAAACCGGCCATTGTCCCCTTACTGACCTTTTCATACCTGGCTTGCCTGGAGCTCCGCTGACAGAGCGAAGTGATAACCATGGGGTCAATCGGGGATCAACCAGTCCTGGGGCTCACAGCCTTGGAGCGTATCGGACCTAAGGGATATCTGCGCTACGTCTTCCCTTTCCAGCTGCAAGACGATTATGATTTGGATGAAGTGGCTGGAGCCCTAGAGGCCGGGTACCAGGCTCTCACACAACGGATCCCGGTGGTGGCGTCTGAGGCAGTTCCCGACCTCGAGACGAAGCAAAAGGGCGTAATGAGATTTCAGCCGCGGGACACCCGCGACGCAACACAGATCCTCGTCAAAGACCTGCGTGACTCCTATGCCTCTGACTACGCCGGACTGAAACATCAGCATTTCCCCGTGGCTGCCTTCGATGCCGATACATTCTGCCGTCGATCGGTCTGGCCCTCAGCTGGAGAACGAATGCCAGTTTCCCTTGTGCAGGCCAACTTCATCCGCGGGGGACTGGTACTCACATGGTGCATTTTACACATGGCAGGAGATGGTAACTCATTCTCCACGTGGACGGCGATTTGGGCAGAAGAATGTCGTCGTGCACAGGGGCTGGAAATCGTGGCCCCAATTCAACTTCCCGACGCCGTCTGGAAAGACCGTGAGCAAGTGACCAAGCCCTCAGGTCGCAATGCGGGCGAACTGGAAAACCATCCTGAATATACCCTCCTTCCTTTCACGCCGCCCGGAGCACCACCCAAGATGACCTCCTTGAACCATCGTGGTCAGGTCTTTTACTTCTCCCCGGACTCTCTTGCAGCCTTGAAGGTCGAGGCATCGCCTGGCAAGGCTACCGAGCCCTCCGACCAGAAATGGATCTCCACCAACGACGCTCTCTCCGCACTTCTCTGGCGAACCGTGATGGCAGTCCAGTCACCCTTGGATACACTGGAGGGTGATCCCGTCTCTGTTTTCAATCTCGCTATCGATGGGCGCCAACGAACGGATCCCCCAATCCACCCGGACACTCTAGGATGCTTCCTGGAGTACGTTGCTGTTATTCTTCCCATTCGCAAGATGCTGAGTACCTTGAGCCTGGCCGATCTAGCCATTCAGATCCGAAAGGCCATCCTGCGGGCTGACAAGCAATTCACGGACGATGTCGTTGCTTTGGTGGACCGGCTCGAAGATGTCGATCGATTGGTCCCAACCGCCTTCCTGGATGTTCCTGGGTATAATTGTGTGCAGACCTCCTGGTTGAACTTCAAACTGTACGGGCTGGACTGGGGCTCTTCACTAGGCCATCGTATTGAGGCCGTTCGCGTGCCGCACATTGGATGCATCAATGGCGCTCAAGTTGTGCTTCCAGTACTGCCGGATGGCGGGATGGAGATCTTGGTGGGGGTGGAAGAGAGTTGCTTGGATCGACTGCTAACTGATCCTTTGTTTACCAAATATGGAGTAGCCCGGTAGTATAAGCACAGGGATCAATGCAGCGTCCGTTAGGATGTCGGGCCGCACTGCATGACTGCTCATTTCATGCTTCAATGTAGAACGAGCCTGCTTGATTGCAATCTCCTCGCAAATGGCTCGGTACGCTCGGCCTGCGGCTATGTGCCTGCTCATTAAGCACACTGTGCCGGTATAGCCCACAAATGATCACTCTTCGCCCGATATGATGTTTGTTTATGAGCAATCTTGCAACAGAGCCTGGGATGCCACATAACAAGCTGACGCCCCTAGTCGCCTCCATATGTGGAGTCACACCATGTGCACCCCACGGAGTTAATTAAACCCCGGGATGGGCCGGGTGGGCCAGCTCAGCATGTGAGGTCTCAGGAACCCCAGGCACCTAGATCATGCTCTCAATTCTCCGAGAATGAACCTTCTGTTCTGAATTCAGCTAGGCACATAGCAGCAGCCAAACCGCAGGACCTCTCTCCAGCATTTGACCCACCCCGAACGGCTATTTCGCAGCGACGTCCCTGTGCCTGAACTATGGGGCCAACCAACGATGAGGCAGAAATCGAAGGAAGATCGGCTGGAGGCGATTTGATTGCCATCGTAGGCATGGCAATGCGACTGCCCGGCAAGGTGCGCAATGCGGAGGACTTCTGGAGGTTGCTGGTGGAGAAGAGAAGTGGTCTTTGTGAGGTGCCGCCAGATCGGTACAACAGTGATGCCTTTCATGATCCGGATGGGAAGCTGGGAACAATCCGTGCGAAACAGGGCTATTTCCTTCAGCAGGTCGACATTCGACAATTCGATAACACCGTCTTCACCACCTCCAAGAAAGAACTTCAGCGTCTGGACCCTGAGCAACGGCAACTCCTCGAAGTTGTATACGAATGTTTTGAGAACGCTGGAACTACCTCGTGGCGTGGTAGTAAGGTCGGCTGCTATGTGGGTGTATTTGGTGAGGACTGGCTCGACCTCAATGCAAAGGAGACCCAACATATGGGGGGATATCGGTTTACAGGTTACGGAGACTTTGTGCTCAGTAATCGCGTCTCTTATGAATTCGATCTGCACGGGCCAAGGTTCGTTGCTCTCTGCTATGGAAGGAGAGGTGCTAACGCAGGGAATGACAGCATGACGGTGAAAACAGGATGCTCGTCCTCGTTGGTCTGCCTAGATCTGGCCTGCAAAGCAATCCGGGCTGGCGACTGTGAGAGTGCTTTAGTGTGCGGGACAAGCCTCATATTCTCTCCGACGATGACTTTGGCTTTGAGTGACCAGGGCCTACTATCTCCAACTGGGACATGCAAAACCTTTGATGCAGCAGCCGACGGCTATGCTCGGGGGGAAGCCTTAAATGCCGTTTATATCAAGAAGGCTAGCCAGGCTATGCAAGATGGGGATCACATTCATGCTATCATTCGGGGAACCAGGGTCAACTGTGACGGTCGGACCCAAGGGATGACGATCCCAAGTACTACTGCCCAAGAGGCACTGATCCGTGAAACGTATCAGGCCTGTGGACTCTACGATGTTTCGCAAACGGCCCTGGTCGAATGCCACGGCACTGGTACTCCGGTTGGGGATCCACGTGAAGCTGCCGCGGTAGCCAATTGTTTCGGCGAGAAGGGGGTGATCATCATGTCGGTATGGACATTGGAGTCTTCTTGACGGATTGTCTCCCATCTGATCATTGGCATGCAGGTGAAGCCCAATGTCGGCCACTCGGAGGGCGCAGCGGGCTTGACGAGTCTCATCAAGGCCGTTCTCGCTCTCCAACACTGCCAAGTGCCCCCCAACATCAATTTCGACCACCCTAATCCAGACAGTGAGACCAGCGCAATCCATGACTAGAGATATGCATCACAGTCTAACCTCCATCCAGTTCCATTTGAACAAGCCAGATTGCATGTACCAACTGAACTCGAGCCGTGGCCCGCAAATCGTGCTGAAAGGATCAGTATAAATTCGTTTGGGATCGGAGGTGTGAATGCTCATGTAAGTGTTGTCGTCAAAAGGAGCCTATTCTCCCGGTTTTTCGCACTTGACTGACCCTCTCGAGGCTATTATTGATTCGCCTAAACAATGTGGAATTGAGCCTATGCGGTTCCCTGTGGGTGAAGGAAGACCACAGGAGAGCCAAGCGAAGCTCTTACTGTTCTCTGCCCAGTGTCGCGATGCTGTTGAACGGTCTGTCAACAACCACCAGGATTATCTCCAGGGGAGTAGAGCATCTAGCAAAGATGTGGCTTACACTCTGGCTAACCGCCGCATTCATCACTCGTATCGGGCGTACATCGTGATGAATCCCGCACCACCACCATCCCTTTCCAGCGTGGTTCGCATTGGGCCAGTGCCAAAGGTTGCATGGGTGTTCACTGGACAAGGAGCTCAGTGGCCTGAAATGGGGGCGAGCCTCATCAATTCCAATGCAACCTTCCGCCACACAATCAGGAGGTTAGACAGGTTTCTGGCCTCTCTGCCCTCCGCGCCACCATGGAACATCGAAGAGGAGATGCGGAAGCCCGAACATGTCAGTCGCGTCTACCAAGCGGAAATGGGCCATCCCTTGACGATCGCGGTTCAGCTTGGGCTGGTTGATGTATTGCAATCCTGGGGTGTCACCCCAGTGGTGGTGCTGGGTCACTCTTCCGGTGAAATGGCCGCTGCTTACGCTTCTGGTGCAATCACCGCTGAAGGCGCCATAGCAGCAGCGACCTTTCGCGGCATCAGCAACGAAAGATCCCCGCGCAATGGTTTGATGGCCGCGATCGGGTTAGGGAGAGGAGAGATGTCTTCTCTGTTAGAAGCTGGGGTGGTCATTGCTTGTGAAAACAGCCAGTCAAGCGTTACTATCTCAGGCGACGCGCTTCAGGTCGAGAAGGTGGTCAGTCGAGTCCAATCGGAGCGACCAGATGTTCTGGCGCGTGTATTGCGCGTCCAAAAAGCATTTCACTCTCGTGAGTCTCTCGATTCCAATGCTTGTAATTTTGACACATGCTACAACTGACTAGATCACATGCATGAGCTTGGACCGGAGTAAGAACGACACATCCACCAGCTCATTCATAGCAACGATCCCAAGATTCCCTTTTATTCCGCGGTCACGGGGGACAAACTGACTGGAGCTGGCTGTCTGGGAGCGGCGTACTGGCGTCGGAACATGGAAAGCCCTGTCTTGTTCAATTCTTCCCTTCGGTCGCTTCTCCGAGACTACAGTGATCCTCTTCTGTTCATCGAGATTGGACCGCATCCTGCACTCAAAGGCCCAATGGGACATGTGGTCCGCGAGCTTGGTCGGTCAGACACACATCTCAGTACATTGGTTAGACAGCAGAGCTGTGAGCCCTGTCTTCTCGACCTTGCCGGAAGACTTTATCAGCAGAACGTTCCTCTGGACTACCATCAGATCTGTCCTCCTGGACAGCTTGTGACGGACCTCCCTCAATACTGTTGGCAGCCCGATTCTTCGCATTGGAATGAGCCACGCGTCGCCCGCGAATGGCGATTCCGTCAATTCCCTCCGCATGAGCTCCTGGGTGTTCGGGTAGCCGAGACTGGAAATGAGCCTTGCTGGAGAAATATTCTGGCTATCGAGAATGTTCCATGGCTGGCAGGCCATGAAATGGAAGGGCAGACGGTATTTCCTGCTGGTGGGTTCATAGCAATGATTGGGGAAGCCTTGCGACAATTGGAAGGGGACCGGACTTACAGCCTTCGCCATGTCACCCTCGCCTCTGCAGCTGTCATGCATCTCGACCACGCAACCGAGTTTATCACCATCCTCAGCGCCCTCGATCCTGATCCCACCGAGAAGACGACATGGTACCGGTTTGGTGTCAATTCTTTCGATGGAACTACGTGGACTAGACACTGCTATGGGGAGGCTAGATGCGGCGTCAACGACTCAATCTCCATGGCCGTATCGGAGTCACCTCCTTGCTTTGCTCGCAAACTCAATGTAGATACCTGGTATGAAGTTCTCCGCCGTGTTGGATTTGGGTATAGCGGGATGTTCCAAAGCCTACAGGATATCTCTGCCGCTACTACCGAGAACCGAGCGGCCGGCGTCATTCCAGCTGAGCAGGGAGGAATCACAGATACCTACGCCCTGCATCCAGCCCGAATTGACCAGTGCTCTCAGATTTCTATCGTTGCAGCCCACCGCGGCATATTTCGGAGGTATCGTCAAGTTTGCGTTCCCACTTTCATTGAGGAGGTGGTCATTTCGCCAACTAGTAATAGCCTCAACATCACAGCCGAGGTGCGAGCTGTGGAGAGAGGCTCTTATGTTGCAGATATTGTAGCACACAGAGCCGGACAGATTTTCCTGAGTTTGAAGGGCCTGAAAGTTTCAGCGTTGAGCAAACGAGATGAGTCGACAATGGACTTCCCGTTGATCGCGCACTTCGAGTGGAGACCTCACGCTGATTTCACTGAGTTGCGAGATTACCTGCACTGCGCAAAGCAGTGCACAGAAGATTGGCATTTATTGGAAGAGCTGGTACTTGCGTGCATGATTCAGACTCGAAATCGAGCTTATCGGACGGATGATTCACCGGAACACCTACAGAAGCACCTTGCTTGGATAAAGACGCAGCTGGAAGTGTATCAGACCGGCTTGAATCGAATAGTCTCCCAGGACCTTCGACTCTGGGAGTTATGCGGTGAAGGTCTACAAGACAGGATCGAAGACATAATCCTCCAACTCAATGGTTCCCCATACGATGCGTTTAGCATTGCTGTGCATCGTATGTGCCAGGCGTCTGCAGCAATGTTTGCCGGTGCACAAGATGCGTTGCAGCTTCTATCAGAGGACAACCTACTCCATAGTCTCTATAGACTCGCAGATGCTTGGGACTACGATGGTTTATTTCAACTCATCGGTCACACAAACCCACGGCTGAAGGTGCTGGAAGTTGGCGCTGGGACCGGCACCACAATGTTCAAGGCACTGAAAGCCTTAAGATCGTCTTCTGGAGAACGCCTCTACAGCACGTACACTTATACTGATATCTTGCCTGGCTATGTCACAGCGGCCAAGGAGCGATTTACCGAGTATGAGGGTTTAGAATACGTCGTATTGGACCTACGTCAGGATCCGCTGCAGCAAGGCTTGGAGCCTGGAAGCTACGATTTGATTATAGCCAATAATGTGAGGCATTTCGTCTCTTTATCATGATCTTGGCTAATCAACAAGGTCGTGCATGCAACGCCGAGTTTGCAAAGGTCTTTGAAAAACGTCCGTATGCTGCTTAAGCAGGAAGGCCGACTGTTACTGCAGGAATTGTGCCCAGGTCAGTGGTTGCCCTATCACAGCTGTACCTCTTCCTGTACTGATGTTTGCATTCAAAGAGACGAATTTTATAAGCTATGTCATGGTAAGTCCGTGATGCGGAATCGATGCGCTCCCCTTCCGCGACCCCCGACTAATTGAGATGCAAGGGCTTTCTACCGGAATGGTGGATCGGTCAAGAGGATGATCGCCTTGAGCAGCCGTATGTGTCCCCGGAAAGATGGTCGAGAGAGCTTGTGGAAGCAGGATTTCAAACACCACACGCTTCTATGCTGGACAACATCCCTCCGTATCATCTCAGCGCCTGTATGATTGCATCGGTAGCAAATGCCCGTGCTGAGCCTCACGAAGTAACCCTGCTATGTCATGACCCTATGGCACCGTGGGCCCAACGAGTATTGCATAGCCTCCAACGTCGAGGCATCCGCGTCGAACCTCTCGGGCCGGGAAATCTACCTCTGCCTGATCAGGACGTCATCTCGCTGATTGACCTGGATGACCCGGTGATTCATGCTATGCCAGAAGCGAAGTTCAGATCCACGATGTCAATGTTGCAGACATTAAAGAGCAATTTGATATGGGTAACGCGGTCAGCACAGGTGGGCTGTTCAGATCCCAGGGCTGCCATGACGCTAGGACTGGCTCGAACTGCACGGAACGAACTCGCAGTCAAGTTATATACTGTCGAAATTGATCACAGCCGTCCCTCGCAAACCACAGCTGACTGCATCACGAAGATATTCTGTTGGATAGCCACGAGGAACACTTCAGAGGCGATGAGCTCAGACTGGGAATATGCCATCGTCGAGAACGAGATTGTTATTCCAAGGATGCATTGGCAGACAGTTGCACAATCGTACGAACAGTATAGCTCGCCTGATCGATCGTCGATCAAACATCTTGCCATCGAGAGTCCTGGTCTCCTGCGAACTATAAAATGGGTCGATGGCCGGGATGCGCAAGTGGAGGGATGCAATGTTCTGGTTCGGACCCAAGCTGTCGGCCTGAACTTCCGCGTATGCTTCATTCCGCTCTTCAGTTGTTTAATGTGAGCTTATAAATTAAAAGGATGTGCTCATTGCATCCGGTGTCCTCGACGAAAGCACCACGTTGCTTGGTTTAGAAGGAGCCGGAATAGTTCATGCTGTCGGCCCCGATGTCCGGCATGTGTCGGTCGGGGACCACGTTATATACATGGGTACTGGATGCTTTACCACCTATATGACACTTAACGAATCCTGTTGTGTACAGGTAACGAAATCCACGTCCTTCGAGCAAGCCGCTGCATTGCCATGTGTCTATGCAACCTCGGCGATGGCATTGATTGAAAAGGCAAATTTGCAACGGGGACAGGTGAGCCTACAATTCTAGGGGGTAAGCGTTTGATAGTGACTGATGGGCGCTCTCCCAGGCTGTCCTCATTCACTCGGCGTGTGGTGGGGTTGGCCTAGCTGCTATCCAGGTTGCCCGGATGATAGGCGCCGAGGTGAGTTTCGTCACTGACGAGGAAGCCGGGACTGATATGTTCTTCCTAGATCTACTGCACGGTGGGAGCCGAGACAAAGGTCGAATATTTGGTTCGGAATTGCAATATACCGCGGTCCCATATCTTCCATTCACGTAGTTCATCTTTCGTTAAAGATGTTATGGACGCCACCAACGGTCGGGGAGTGGACGTTGTTCTCAACTCGTTGACCGGCGACCTTCTCCACGCCTCGTGGACATGTGTGGCCGAGTTTGGAGTCATGGTCGAGATCGGCATTCGTGATTTTCGTCGCAAGGCTAAGCTGGCGATGGAACTTTTCGAAGCAAATCGAACCTTCGTTGGACTTGAACTGAGGGAGATAACGCGCGTCCGTCCCTGGATAGTGACCGAGTCAGTATCCCTGCTTGCTCTGGAGTCAACACTTCAATATAATTGACGGACAACCAGCATTCTAAGACGTTGTGTCAACTGGATCGAGGCTGGAGTGATCACGCCCGACCCGATCTCAAACATCTTTCCGGCAGCAAACATCCACGAGGCCTTCCGCTTGATGCAGTCCGGTTCTCACATTGGCAAGATTGTGATACAGATGCCAGACGATCCAGGGGTTCTGGGGACTATGACAGTCAACCCCAGTCCAATCTTCCAGCAAGAGCGGAGTTATCTGCTTGTTGGCGGACTTGGTGGCCTGGGACGGGCTGTGGCTTCGTGGATGGTTGAACATGGTGCCCGCAACCTGGTCTTTCTGTCACGAACTGCCCTACACGCAGTTGAAAGTGATACCTTTGTTGAGGACCTGGAATCTCAGGGATGCCGGGTCCAATTGGTGGCTGGCAGCGTCTGTGAACTCGGTGATGTGAAGAAGTGTGTTGCGCAGGCCACCGCCCCAATTGCTGGCGTCTTGAACATGTCAATGGTGTTGAGGGTGCGTGTTCTTGTTCTTCCCCCTGCTGACTCCGTTTTGGTGCTGATCGTTCATGTACGCAGGACGTCTCTCTGGGGAAGATGACATATTCTGACTGGGTAACCGTTGTGGAGCCCAAGGTGCAAGGCACTTGGAACCTCCATAATGTCCTTCCGTCTAATCTGGACTTTTTCATCCTCATTTCATCCTGCAGTGGCCTCTGTGGGCAGTGGGGTCAGGCAAACTACGCTGCTGCCAACACGTTCCTGGACGCATTTGTGCAGTATCGTTATCATCAGGGTCTTCCAGCCTCTGTCATTGACCTTGGTGTGATGGGCGACGTCGGTTTCGTGGCTCGCAACCAGAACGTACTGCGTCAATTCCAGGATACTGGAGCCTTTGTACTCAATGAGGATATGTTTATGCAGGCGATGGCATTGGCCGTGCAGCGATCACACCCCGTTGCAAATAAACTCCCTACGCAGACATATAGCAATCCGAGCCAGATTGTACTGGGCCTCAACACGGCCGTTCCTGCCTCCTCTCCGGCCAACCGGGTCGCATGGAAGAAGGATATTCGTTTCGGCATCTATGGCAATCTTGACGGGGGTGGCGAAACCTCTACAACGGCTTCATCGAAGCCCAACAGTCTACGAGAATTCCTCGCTTCCGCCGCCACACAGCCAATACTCCTTGAAGAGGAGGCAGCGGTGATGAAGATCACTGAGGCTATTGCAGTGGCTTTGGCTGATTTCCTCATGAGAGATCAAGGCAGCATTGTCCCCACAGACTCATTCTCGAGCCTTGGGATTGACTCCCTGGTGGTTATGGAGATCCGCAATTGGGTTCGGCAACATCTTGGCGTGGATAGAAGTGTTCTGACGATCCTTCGCTGCCCTTCGTTGTTCAAGCTGGCCGAGAGTATTCGTGACGAGCTGCTTGGTCGGTTGAGTGGGTGAGCGTTCATGGCAATTTGTTACTATTGTGCTGGCTTCTCTTTCAGGTGTCTAAATTGACTGATGACTTCCGGCATCTATCTTTGTTAATCTCAATCTCCAACCACTTGCTTAGAGTAACTGCATGAATTGGTTGTGTCTGGCGCTCTTTATCTCGAACATAAGCCTTTCTGAACAAGCACAGTGTTCATACCCTCGTTTGTATTCTGTAAGCTCCCCTGAAGAACACGTTCTGCGACCGCACTGTTCTTGATGCTGTGACATCAATACTATAAATACTCGACTTGCCCTCGTCGGAGGTCCACTCAAACGGTCCGCATCACTGCACTCTCGCGACCCGTTCGCTTTGGTGTCAACTAAGCTCGCAACTTCGTACCCTATCGCCAAGCACAAACAAATCAATGTCTCGGGAACTGCCTAGTGGCAAATGGCAATGGTATTTCGCCGACCATGCCTTTCTGCCGAAGGACCACGCCAAGTTCCGCCAGGACATCACCCGGTGGCTTCTTGCCCGCCAGGGCAAGCCCGAAATCGGCGCCGATGGCCAACCGACGGAACTGACCGAGGTTCAACAGCGACTAATCCGCGACGCTCTGACGCGTCGCCACCGATTCCTCTGGGTGCAGGCCAAGTCCGCCCGGATCTATACGGATGAGGAGAAGGCTGAGGCCCTCGCCACGGGGGCACCCCTCCGGGCTCCCCCTCAGGCCAATGCTGTTCTCGAGGCCGCCCTGCAACCCCCTGGCGAGAAGATCCTTGATCCTCTCACCGGCAAGTTCGAGTGTCCATGTTGCTTCCGCACGCTCCCGCCTCGATACCGGGAGCCGGAAGCGTGGTGGAAGCACGTCGAAAGCGACGTTGGTAGTGGGACTTGTCTGCTGGACCACTGCTTGATGAAGCCGCGGCCGTTCGCCATGGACCAGTTCTACAAGCATGTTCGAGTGTATCATGACCCGGAGAAATCGTATACGCTTCGTGACATTGACTCTCCGCGGCGGTTCCCCCTCGATCCCTTTCCGGACCACTGTCCCATCTGTAACTATGCTGATGAGGATAGGGAGCGGGTCGTGAGTCACATCTGCAAGGAGCTCCGATTCTTTGCGTTGATGGCGCTGCCCTGGGCGACCGAACGGATGTTGATCGTCGAGCACGAGTGGCAGAAGGAGGTCGATCGCTTGTGGCCTCCTCACTGCAATGTGCTACCCTGCGGCGTTTGGTCCAACGACAAGGCCTGGGCCAAGCGGGCGGCGAAGAAGCAGACTCACCAAGACATTCATGATCTTAGTTTGGAAGATCCATGAGATTTCTCAGCTCGTCGATAATGATGATTGTGCGGTCTGATAAATTTGGTTTGCACCGACTACCCCATTTCAGTACGATCTCACCTGGCTTACTTATTTAGTTAATATATCGATCAATTGATTCACAGTCTCATTGCATCTAATCGAACAATATCTTGGCATTTCAGACCTTCACTCACAGATTGGACATTTCACCTGACCTAGGCCCGATGTATCAAGAGACGTCCATCGTTGCCAATTCCTGTTTTTGTAGTTCAAAGCTTGAAAAAAAAACCTTGACTTCCATATTCATCCCGACAAACAAAGTCTGGGTCGACAAGGCATGAACCACGTTGGCAAAGCCTGACTTCCTTTGGTTGAGAGTGGTGCGTTCGGTCGCGGACAGCTATTCAGAGCCCGAAATCAGCAAAACGACCATTGAAAGGGCACTGACAAGACCTGACGCACTAGAAATGGGAAGACAAGACTTCCACCAATTGTCTTAGATTGACCGGAAACAGGGGTAAATCTTAAATCCAGCTCAGCAATGGCAGGCAATCGGTGGTAGGTTTGTTGGATTTCCGTGAGAGCGGCCAGGTAGAAGCTCGCCAGCGGTTCGATGGCCACGGGCGCAAGGCCGAACTGTTTGTAGCGTCGTTATTAGTCCAAGACTCTGTCTGTGCCTCTAGCAGGATGGTGGGGTAGAACTTACGGTCGCAGTCTTGATGACTTCCATGTTGAAGCACTTGCAGATTTAAGTGACTCGAGTATGATGAGGACTAGCTGCGCAACTCGAGTTGACTGCTGTAGAGAAGGAGGTAAAGATGGGAGGGCATGCAGAGAAAAAGGCGGAGAGCGAGTGTGTGGGAGAGAGAAAGAGAGAGAGACCGTGTAAGAGATAAGGAAGGATCACCAGAGAAGAGGCCGAAGAAGCTGGGCCAGGGTGAATAGAGTGTTACGGTTACTGTTAGTGCTGATCCTCAGTTCCCACGGTTTCAGTTCAATTTGGAGTCTGCTTGCCAAATTAGGCTAGGCGGTCCCCCGTCCACGAGCAAGTGAATGCTGATGTCGAATCATCGTTAGCTTGAATCACTCTTTTCTTGCTTATAGACAGGTGACTATTTTCTCAATCCCCTCAAAGTTTGACCTCGCGGGACTGCTTCTCAGCAATATTCTCTTCCTCCAGCTTGGCGACTGTTGCTGCGAATGCAGCCTCTGCATCATGCTCCGACAGCCAAACCGTACTGGCCCGATTCCGCAGACGGCGTGAGAGCTGCTGTTCCTCATCGTCCCCAACCTGCGACTGGCCCTGGCCCTCAGAGGCTTGTCGGTGGACAATGCGAAGTAATCTCTCCGTATGAGGTTGCCTCGCCCTGCTATACAGTTCCAGTGCCAGTTGAATACTGCTTTCCAGGAGAGATTGCTCTGCATCCAGCCCTTTAAGAGCATGCCCAAAAGCGAGTCCGAGAGTTAGAGCATCGTCCAAAGCCAAGGAGCCGCCAGCTGCGAAAGCCCCCCCATGGGCATGGGCAGCGTCACCAATCAGGGTGACTCGAGGGGCTAGAACCCAGGTCGCAAGAGAGTCTCCGATAAAGTTCGGGTAGAGTTTGGTATAGGGAGTGAGCTCCGTCAGAGCTCTGACGACAGGATTCCAGTCCTGGAGAGTTATATGAATCACAGACATCGCGCGAACGAGCCATGAGAATGGATTGACATACCTTGTATCTTTCACGGAGAAACTCCACGCCGCCCTCCTCGTCCCATGAAACGGTCTTCTCGACCTCTTCCGTGGTGCGTGGATCGCTGTACGCGCCGACCGTTGTGTATTGTTGTTTGCCTAAAAAGGATGAGGGTAAGACAGGTGGCTCCGCTTGTTTCGCGCCAACTCCACCTACCCAGACGAGATGCGAAGAAGTTGTCCTTTGGTCCCCACTATCTTTGAGTTAGCCTTGCGCGATGTCCCTTGAGACCAAAGCGGAGTACAAACCCAGTGAATCGCATCTGCGGGAAGATCAGAGACTTTCCCCTCTACCAGTGATGCATCAAATGTGGATCGCATAAACACCTTCCCGCTGAACCGTAGCTTATACTTGGGGATAAATGATTGTCGGACAATCTGCATGCGACCGTCCTGTCAGATCGTGACCGGAAGATAACGACCCAATTTCTAGTGAAACGCACCGATCTAAGCCCATCAGCTCCGATCAGGATGTCCCCGCGGGCGCTAGTACCATCGTCGAAGTATAGTGAGACACTCTGGTGGTCCACTTCGGCGCGGACGGTCTTTTTACCCAAGTGGATGGACTCTCGCGGAACATGCTCGAGAAGTGCGCTATGAAGATGGCCTCGATGGAAGCGAGTGGTGGCGTGACGAGGATCGGGCACATCGTTGTGTGTATCGACCGAATGGACTTGGTTCGTCTTCCAGTGCCTGCCAACGATTGACTTTGCGTCAGAATCAGAATTGTTATTGGCATTGATACCTCCCATTCTCACACGAACCTACCGGAAAACCTGCGGGATGCCGCTCGGCGATCTGAATCCTACTCCATCTGCGAGAGCATTGTGTACCCCCAACCTTTCCAACGTGCGCATGCCCTAGAGGAACAATGGAAGGTTAGCCCAGGTGGCACTTGATTCGCATCCTTTCGGATAGGAAGCTTCATACATTGGGACTGAGCGCAATGCTAGCTCCAATCTCCTTCAGTTCATCCGCCTGCTCATACAATGCCACTTTGAGGTTCGGGATGGAGGCTTGACGAGTGAGAGAGATTGCAGCCGCCAGGCCGGCGATGCCGGCGCCTGCGATCAGCACTCGAACATCGTTTGTGTTCCGAGCCATTGCAGACGAACACAGTGAAGCCGCCTTGTCAGTAAAATGTTGCAGATGAAACTTGTTCAATCGGGAGATGGAGTGTCCAGGAGCGAGAGGAATTTATTCCTCTGGGTGTCAAGCACGTCAACCCTGCAGGTGTGACGCGACTACCGCCATGGACCATGGACATTTCCCTCATCCGGGTCGGTCGCATCGAGGTCACGGAGGTGTGTTGCAACAATTCATCCAGCAAGGTAGAGAGTATCGGCATGGGCATGCGAGTGCCACGAGGGAGATGGGCTCGCGACACTCTTTACGTATTAGTCATTGCAATGGCAGAGAAGAGTATATTGCCTCAGGCATCAGCGAGCTGGGCGGTGGTAGTGGCAGCCACGTGACCAGCGCTTCCCGTTCAGCCGCCTTCAGGCAGCGTCAGGCACAGTCAGGCACTAAAGATGGTGATCCTGCATGTCGCATGTCGCCTGAAGGGGTAAAAGGCCCCAAGGGTGTAATCCATACGGGTGTATTATTTCTAGTGGTGCCCAGTGAGTACCGATTACTCCTGAGAGCGGATCCATGCGGGACGTTGGGTTCATCAAATCTCTGCAGATCGGCGGCACCGACCTTACTTTAGACTATCTTCACCTGTGAAGCAGTGTGATGACGGTGATGCATATATTCTGTCCTGTACTGTACCTTTCTCCGCAACTCTCCAGCCACGAGGGTGGAAACACGAAAAAGCCGTTGAAGCGAAGAGGCCCTACCATGGTTCTGTCCTCTCCGGTTGAGCATCGGCCGAACGGGCCCATTCGGCCATGGCATGGCGATGTGGCCCATGTCGACCCTGCCTTTGCGGGCGAAGCAAGACCAGAACCATCTTCGAGTTACTCACATACTCGTAGGTACTCTCCTATGTATTTCCGTGTAGGGTGTGTAGGGTGACCGTCCGGGGCGATTATGTTTTCCATTTCCCGTGCAC